TGTGGGCCCCAATTAAGTACATAGTGCCAGGAAGAAAAAGCATGTGAATATTGGCCACTTGGAGTCTTTTCTAATGACCTTGAGAGGAGAGAATGTTTGCGACATCTCATTGTAAAGAACCTTTTGGTTTCTGGTTCCACCAGCAGTTAGGGGTCGTGGGCATAGTGTAGGTTTGGATCCACTGGCATCGCTGACTGTGCTGAGAAGGTGCTCTTTGCACCTCATGAGCCTGGGGCCTCCAGAACCTGGGGCCTCTACCATAGGGATTTTAGTTCAACTCTGATCTCCCCAAACAATGCCAGTCTGGAGGAACCTGGCTCTCTTTTGTTATTTTAGTTTTTAATCTGACCTTGAAATTGTTTTGAAAAATTATATTTAAATATCTACTACCCAATGCACATAAGCTACCAGGAGTCATCGGGAAGGTTTTCTTGAGAAATCTGCGATCTGACATTCATAACTGAGTTTTGATTTCACACATTCCCTTTCATTTCACAAAGAAACCTGTCAAATTTGTTCTCATAAATTGTTTGAATGCAGCTGCCTAACAGCTTTCTTTTTTCTTTCTTTCTTTGGGGGAGAGATACTTCTTATAGTTACAAAGTTATAAAACTTGATTTTAACCTTGCAATTACTTTTTAAAAAGTACTTTAAATTTGGATATATTTTCCCTATTATATTTCTCTTTCTAGCTATTATTTGCAAAATATTTTTTTGAGAGGGGGGGACAAAATTTTGAAGTTTAATTAAAATTACCCTTCAGATAGACCACTGGCAAGATTTTGTAACTTCTTTAAGTTTTATAATATTTACAGCAAAAACATGAGTGTTTAATATGCTGTTTTAACCTTTTGTATGACTTGGCCTGGGAGATTGGGATGTTAGTGGATAATGACTTTCATTGTAACACTGAGAGAGATGAGACATTTCTGTAACAGTTTAAGATTAAACTCTTCCATTAGAGCCTTTTTAGTCTTGTTTCTCAATATTTAGCTTTTATAATTAGTTTCAAGTTTAATCCTGTATAATTTGACAAGGAAGAGAAAGAAGAACTTAATGTGAAAATTCACATTTGCAACCAGACTATTTTCAGCTATTTAACACAGATCTTTGATGATATATTAAGACAGAGTTGCCCAAATGAATAAACAGGTTTATAGTCATGCTACAGCTGTGGAATTACACTGGCTTCCTCCCGAGAGAGAGAGAGAGAGATCTGGAGGCCAGAAGGTTGTCCTTAACAATAGGGTAAATGTCTTTGGGTGGGTATGGAACTAAATTTATTCTGTTGTATAAAAATTCTTCATATTAATGGAATGTACCATGAAAAGAGGTGGCCTGTAATAGATAAGAACTAATAGTCTTAATATGGACATTTAAAATTCTTACCCATCAGTAAGGCAGAGATGAATGCTCCATTAAAAAATTATGGGTTGGTGGATGTCAATAGTGAAGAGAGATACACAGTTAATAAATATAAAGATAAATATTTAATTTTATCAGTAATTAGCAAATAAAAATGAAAACCAAGTAAGATGTCACTGTACCTGCTAGATTTGAAGCGCTCAAACAGATCGATAATATACCATTTATAGTGAAAACAAGGGGAAGCCAAACATTTATGATACAAGCAGGGTGAGACAAGGCATCGTTGAGGGGAATGTAATGTGCACATAAGAAAATCCTTCAGGCCCTAGCCAGTTTGGCTCAGTGGATGGAGCATTGGCCTGCAAACTGAGGGGCCCTGGGTTCGATTCTGGTCAAGGGCACATGCCTGGGTTGCAGGCTCAATCCCCAGTGGGGAGCATACAGGAGACAGCCGATCAGTGACACACACTCTCTCTCTCTCTCTCCCTCTCTCTCTCTCTCTCTCTCATCATTGATGTTTCTATCTCTCTTTCCCTCCCACTCCCTCTCTGATACCAATAGAAATCTATTAAAATAAACAAAGAAAATCTTTCAAATAAATAATAGGGCAAGTCCAAGAATGGTAATGGTGGCTTTAGAAACAAATAAAAGTTCTCTTAGGACATTAGTTAAAAATATAACACAACACTGATACAATTCAATATGTAGCCACTAAAAAGAATGAACTATATTTTGCCAGGAACCTATTTTCCACGAGTCCCTTGCATTTCGGCATGTTCTGAAAGCAGAGGCACTGATTGCCTTTGTTCCAGGCTGACTTTAAGCATGGTGGTCTAACAGTCTGGGAAGATAGAAATGTCTTCCTCCAGAGCAAAGAACAGCTCTGCTTCCTGCCTGGGATAAAAGATTCAGCTTCTTAAAGCTCAGGGTTATCTTCTTGTAATACAAGCCAGGGTGTGCGTGGGTACCATCTAGCCCACTTTGAGGTGCCCTGTGGGAGTTGGGGTTGGAGAATGGGTATAAGAAAATGCTGACACTCTATTTCCATTTCTGTGACTAAGGGTCCTTTATCTCTGACCCAGAAGTCTTCTGTCTTCTGTCAGTATTCATGAAACTGTGCCCTGGTGACTTGTTAGTTCATAGTGTAAAATGTCAGCCTTACCCTTTACTAATTAAAATTTTCCTTATTTTTTATCAATGCTTTTTAAAAATTTAAGTACTGTGCAAGGGGTATAAAGATGAAAAAGCAAAAATTCTTACCAAGAACTCTTTCTAGAAATACACATTATTCTGTAACTTGTTTTGTCATGGGTGCATGAAGAAAACATTTCTTTAAAGGTGAAAATCACTTACAGAAGATTAAACTTTTATCAGCTACTGAGAAAGATATTAGAATAGTTAGTCTTTTAAATGGCTGTCTATACGTCCATTGTATGGAGGTTTGTAATTTAACCACAATCCCATTGGTAATTCCAGTTCTGGACTAATTAGGTTACCTTAAATCTTGTACAGATACCATGGTGGGTTCATAGGCTACACCTAGAAACTAAAATACAAAGCATTCTCAGACGTGTGCTGAAGTGTTTTGACCACAGTAATCAGTTGGGAGGCATAGGCTCATTTCCTAGTACTAGGTCAAAAATGACAAAACATAACAAAACAAAAAACTATTAAATGGTATGTGTTATGTGTTTTTGGTTAACTCTGGGTTGTGAGATTAGTATTAAACTTTATTTTCTCTTTATAATATTTCATATATTCTGTTTTTTTCCCTTGCACTGAGCATGTATTGCTTTTATAGTCAGATGGGCAATAAAACTACTAAAATTAAGAGAGAGAAATAGGATTAGGGTGAAAAATGAGACATGGACACAAGACATCAAGAGATATGAATGAACAGTTTTCTGTCAAAGACATTTAAATTAAGTGACAGTTTTTAATTTGAATTGTTTTATGCAACCTCAGCATTTATTGACTTCAGAGGAAATGTTTCCCAATAAAGCAGATGTAGGTCTTTGCGAGAAGCAGAGATTAATTTATTTATTTACTATTCTCCATGCTTATATTACCTTTTCCTACATTTATTAATCCTATTTCCAAATAACTACTCTATGCCTAGTCCTGCTTTAAATGCTGTATCAAATTTTACCAAGGAATTTCTCATAGTTTGTGGTTAACTGAGGGCTTTATTTTTCTTGTGTTTTTTTTTTTTTTCCCTTTTGATCATTTTATTCTCGTTAGTCCATTTTCTAAAGTGTATGGGTGTGTGAAAGGATGCAGACCTAAAATTAAGAGTCATCAATTTAGTCACATACTGATCCAATGAGCATCGTCAGAGAAATTCCAGTGAGTCCCCTGACAGGAGAGCTGCTCATCTGGGGAAAGAATGTGTATGTGTGCATGAGATGATTTATTGATTGACAGAGTGCTGGCAGTCTAAATGGCTATTACCCCTTAGTTAGCAGCTTACATGGCAGCACTAAAGCCTGGGATGACAGACTACACAGGCACTTTCTTGGTTGGCAATAATCAGATTTAGACCCCACACTTCGCCTCTGTAGGAAAGACCTAGTTCCTATTAATATTCCTTTTTTTTAAAAAAATCTATCCTCCCATCAATAAAAATGATTTCCCTGATGTTCATGGTTTCCATCTTACACCTGCCCTTCATTTGGTTGAGCCCTTTGTTCGAATACTGTTCACAATTCTGACTTCCTTCCTAGCATTTTTTTTTTTTTTTTTTTTTTTTTTTTTTACCTAGTACCCCTGGAAAGAATATATCCCTTCAGTTCAGAGAAATCCCTGGGAGGTCAGGAAGCATTTTCATTTATTTAAGGGAAGACTTTCAGATCATGCTGGGGAAAGTAGTTAATTCGCACGTTTGTGGTAAGACTTTATACTAACATTAAACTTTACAGAGTAGTTGATGCCATTTGGTCATATTTTGGTCTCCTAAAAGCCCCTGGCTGACTTAAAAAATAAATCATTGCAGACAGACCATTAAATTTTATGAACTATGAATGTGCTTAATAGTCCAGGATAACAAAATGCTCCAAATTTCTCCATGAGCCATTGCTTCTACCTGAGCCCTTGCACACATTTCAAATACCTCCAACCATCATATCAAAGGTAATTATTTTGATAAAGTGGTAGTGTGGGGGGGCCTTTGTAAAGCACTGGATTGTATTTGACCTCTTGGTTTATTACTGACAGAGTTTGTTAATGCTAATGATTTTTTTGTTTTGTTTTTGTTTTGGTTAGGGCCTAATTAAAACCACTTCTGCCTGCATTAAGGCTATGGCCTATGAAAAGGATGATTAAAAGGCTTGATTTCTGCTCACAACATTTAAAAAAATTAATTGGGAAAAATTTAATAAGCATCAAATGCACTTTACCCTGGTAACCGCAATACTGAATGGTGATGTTTTAAATATTTTTTCAGAAAAGGTTAGTGATTTTTTTCCCCCCTGGGAAACATGGAGATGCAACTATGAGCATTAATACGTCTGATATAGGTTACTATAGTTCAGTTAATGCTGATATCTAAACAGATGTTTACATTTCATGTCTACAGTAAGGCAGACTGCGAGGTTCTGTATCACTGAATTTTAGCAAAAAGAAAAAAAAAGGACTGTTAAAGTTTAGAAGTGCAAACCCATAAACTCTACATTGAGATCACTTTTTTGCTTGAAGTGCATCTGACTTGAGAATAGAGGCAATTTTCTTTCCTGATTGCTTGGAAAAATATTTTTGCAGTAAGTCTTGTGTCTTCTTTACTATTATTGGTTGTTTTTTAAGAAAGATGATCAGCTCTGTGGTTTCCCACAGTTGATAAAAAGATCCATAAAAAATATCACAATTAATTTAAAGAAAATGTTGGTTATCAAAGGCTGTAGAAATAGGGAAGAAATAGCACTTCTTATTTTGTACTAAAGGCCTGGTGCATGAAATTCGTGCACAGGGGAGGGGGGGAGTGTCCCTCAGCCCAGCTGGGACTCCACTGGGGTCAGGCCTAAACGGGCAGTCAGACATCCCTCTCACAATCCAGGACTGCTAGCTCCCAATTGCTCGCCTGCCTGCCTTCCTGATTGCCCCTAACTGCTTCTGCCTGCCACCCTGATCACCCCTAACCACTCCCCTGCCAGCCTGATTGATGCCTAACTGATACCCTGCCAGCCTGATTGCCAATAACTGCCCTCCCCTGCAGGCCTGGTTGCCCCCAACTTCCCTCCTCTGACAGCCTGGTCACCTCTAACTGCTCTTCCCTACAGGCTTGATCACCCCCAACTGCCCTCCCTTGCAGGCCTAACTCCTCCCAACTGCCCTTCCTTATTGGCCATCTTGTGGTGGCCATCTTGTGTCCACATGGGGGCAGCCATCTTTGACCACATGAGGGCAACCATCTTGTGTGTTGGTGTGGCAGTCAATTTGCATATTACTCTTTTATTAGATAGGATAAGCACAAACACTTAAAGCTAATCACATTGCAGGTAAATCTAATACAGTATTAGGAAGATCCATAAGAAAGAACAAAAGACCCATGTTTACTTTCATTGCTCCAATAGTCAAGCATTAGACCTGCTTGAGAGTTGCCCTAGAGCAGTTTGCTGGTCCGATTTAAGAGTTCAAAGTCCTTTTTGTATATTTGGTCCTATGATATCCACATCCCAGATAAATTCAGTTAAAAAAAAAATTAGGGCAATGACTTCATAAAACAAAGCACAAGGGTATGCTACTAGGAGTTGCTATCTTTTTTTTTTTTTTAATATATTTTATTGATATTTTGCAGAGAAGAAGGGAGAGAGAGAGAGAGAGCTAGAAATGTCAGTGAGAGAGAAACACTGACCAGCTGCCTCTTGCACACCCTCTACTGGGGATGTGCCCGCAACCAATGTACATGCCCTTGACCGGAATCAAACCTGGGACCTTTCAGTCCGCAGACCAACGCTCTACCACTGAGCCAAACCGGTTTCGGCAGGAGTTGCTGTCTTTCCCTGGCTAATGCAGACATAAAAATTTTGGAAGCAGGGAAACGACACCATCCAATAATTCCAGGAGTGAGGATGGTTCTTTCCATTCATTGCAGAGAAAAGATTACCCTGAAGCTGGGAAGTAGAATCATGGGAGGAAGATGGCATCCAAGGACACTTGCCACACACCAAATGAAACACCTGTCGTGCTCATTAAGTTTAATAAAGAAAGAAAACCCTCCTAGACGCCCAATTGCACCGACCCCACACACAAAGCCAAATTGGGTTTTGCCAGCCAGGAACCATGTGGGTCTAAAGGCCAGGCAAAAATCTGTGGGTCCTGCCAGAGGAGTCTCGTTTGTGATACTGCCATCTGCCACTGTTACTGATGTGACACTGCTAGTGTCTTTGGCCAGATGTGGTAGAAATCCACTCCTAATTCTAATTCTTTTGGTAAAGCTGGCTCATCCTCAAAGTTGTTTCCATAGAGTGGTGGCGGAGTCGTCGGATCAAATGTCTGAGTTGGTGGAAAATCTGCCTGGTGTGGGGCTGTGGTGGCTGCATCAGGACTGGAGGGATGGGTGGGCTTGCCAGTAGTCATGGCCAGATGACTGTGTGCTGAAGGTCCTCTTCTTCCTCCATAATCATAGTACTGCTGTCATTGGTCACTGATGCTGTAACACTGTGCTTAAATGATCAAAGCCCAACATTGCAAATGATCAAATGTGGAGGCGGGGACAACAGCTCCAGCAGCTTCCTGAATGGGCACTGTTGCTGCGTCACAGGCCAAAGAATTCCACAGCATTTTTAATTTTTTAGAATATATTTTATTGATTTTCCACAGAGAGGAAGGGAGAGGGATAGGGAGTTAGAAACATCGATGAGAGAGAAACATAGATCAGCTGCCTCCTGCACACCTTCTACTGGGGATGTGCCCGCAACCAAGGTACATGCCCTTGACCTGAATAGAACCCAGGACCCTTCAGTCCGCAGGCCGACACTCTATCCACAGAGCCAAACTGGTTTAGGCTCTCCACAGCATTTTTTAAAAGGCAACTCCAAGGCAATTCTAGTTTTCTGTACACAGAACAATGACTTACATCCTAATGTTCTTTATAGCACTATACACAAAGTGACCTAGGTTCTTGTTTTATAAAGTCTGTGAAAAGAATGGAAAGGGACTTATGGTGGTTAGTAACTGAGATTGTGTTCTGATTCCACTTTTTAAGCGCGTTGACACTGATTTAGTTACCTAGATCCTTTCAGGCTTCGTCTCTAAAATAAGAGTAACTTTGGGGCCATTAATGATCTCAAATAAGGCAATGCCATAAAAGTAAACATTTAAGTAACTGTACATATGTGAATATGTACTGCTATTGCTATTTTTGCCGATATTTGCATAGCACCTGCTAATTGCTTATAAATTTGAAAGATCCTGGGGGTGGGCATAGGCTATCAGTCATCAGTCATTTTGCAAAGAACCTTAATATTGCTCTGGTCACTGAAAGCAGCATAAGCCAGGAGACCCCAGGGCCTGAGAATTGGATGTTGCCCAAGAAGCAGCCCCATTTTCTTTCTTCTTCTTTCTTTTGATTTTTTTTTTTGTCCTTCTCATTTACTTAAAAAAATACTTCTTATGCACAAACCCCAATTGTTAAGACTCAGCTTATGGCCAGGTAACTTTATGACCTTTGTTAAGACCCACTGACAAAGACCATCAAAAACTTATCTATAGTAAAAAAAATAATAATAATAAAAAATAAATAAATAAATAAGGTTTAATATTTAAATAAACTTTATTTATTTGTTTATTTTTAAGTAGAGAAGTATGCATACCAAAAGGCAAGTTAGGGAGAGATGCTTCTAGGGTTTGGGGAACTAGAGTTAGCCACTAGTCTTGGTGTGGGGATTGGTCAGAATTTATAAACTGGGTGATTTTGTGGCTTTAGCTTGGAAGATATGGTCCAGATGAACTTAGGTCATTAGTCTTGCTGGCACTATTTCTTTTATTTTTTGTGTGAGTCATGGCACAGTTTTGCGAGCTGAGGGTCCTGTTCAATTCTCAGTTACTCTCCCCTGGTCCTTCTTCAGCGTAAGCTGAAGGAGAGGCCACGATCTTTTGGACATGATGAGCCTGGGGCTGTGCCCTGGTCCGGAGCCTGCTGATCAGAAGGGCATGCAGAGGAGGTTGTCTGCGTTGAACCAGAGTCAGTCCCGCATGTTTTCTTAGTTGCAGAGTGAGCTACTGAATCACCTGATGTGGCGATGACTGCTTGGCAGCATTGGAGACTCTGGAGACCACATACTTGATACCAAAATAGGCAAAACTAAGACAAGAATTATTATGGAAGTTCCAAGCTTGGCCATGTGGTCCATAATGTTCAGATACTCAAAAACAGCATATTCTTTTAAATGTAAAAAAGTGAATATGTTTAGACTACTCTTGATAAATATTTGTTTTGACTGAAAAATACTATCTAAATTCAGAAGTGGCTGACATTTTTGACAAGAGAACCCAGATCTTGATCCTAATAGTATTAAGAGCTTATTTATTTATTTATTTATTTATTTATTTATTTTAGTTTTGTTTCTTTCTTAGCTGTTATCCTGGTCCAAATGTTTGTTATTTGTTATTCAAGTGACAGTTTTAGCAGAATCTGAAGATTTTTCCTTATAATAGTGTGGAACCAGTTCAGAAATAAGTTTAGTTCCTCTTGGCATTTATTTGACAATGGGAGACCATTATTGGGCCGCAGGCTCACATCTGTCTAAGTTATCTTCTAATTACCCTGACATATGCTTTCCGAAGCATCATTTTCTCTATGCCAATGGTCTCCCAACTTTTAAATTGTGCCTCCCATCAGCAAAATATTTTGAAAATGTCTCTCTACAACGTGTGTGCATGTTGTTGTTTTTTTGAATTGTATACACATCCTATTTTCATTCTGTGTGTTAAATATTAAGAAAGTCTAATTTCTCATTTTTGAGATAAAAATATAAACAGAAATTCTATTATTTTTAAAACATATTTTCTGGGAAATATATAGCCTTACTTGGGAAACCACAATCGTATACTGTGGTTCTTAATTTTTATGCTCTAATATTTCATTGGGATACATCTCACTTCTATTTTGTTACCACTGGAGCAGTGACTCCCACCTGAGGGGGAATCTGAGGGGAGATACATGAGGACCGTGATTTGGAAAAGGCCTGAGGTGACTCTGATGCTATGCCCCCTGCACCACCACACTTTCCACGAGGGCCACCTCTCCTGAAAATGGCGACTAGAAGTCACAACATGGCCTCAAATTTCTTACACAAGCAAATAAATTTGAGGCCATATTGTGAAGTCATTTAATGGCATGACTTGCAGGCTTTTTTAAATTTTATTTTTATTTATTTATTTATTTATTTATTTATTTATTTATTTTTAATGCAGCTTGTTCTTAGAGAAATGTGGTAGCAAAACAGCAAGGTAAACCAATAAAGCAAATATTTGGTATCATATTGAAAAAAAAAAACAACACACAAACTTATGTGAATTTTATAAACATTACAGCTGTATAATTCAAAGCAATGGTCACCATGCAAGTCCATATGTAATCCTGTCCTGTAAGCCAGTTTTCTTGACAGTTTTCGAGGAAGTACACTTGTTTTATTGTTAAGTGGAACCATCTTTAAATGTGCTGTGGGAACCCCTGACTGAAGGTTTTTGGGGAATCTCATTTTGTGATGTAAATAGTCATTTGCTTTTTGGGGGTGTATGCTGTTGGCCTAACAGGTTCTCTAGCATAGAAAATACCAGGTGGCAGCAGGGAGTTGATCCCCAGAGACTCAGAAGCTT